TTTAGACTCACAAATATAGGATAGATAGAACATTTTCTTTAATTTTGCTAAATACAAATAGACTAGATATTGTAACTATAATTCTTGCTTGATAACTGTTTTGTTATATGTAATTTTACTATGTTAAAGTTAAAACCTTCCTTTTGATTAGACAGAAAAGGGGAAGTGCTGTGGGATGTCTTTCTTTATGCTGTTACTATGTATTGTTATGATTGGTTAATAAAGAAGCTGCTCTGGCCTATGGCAAGTCGGGTTATAGCAGGAAATCCAAGAGAGAGACAGGAAGGATAAAGGCAGAGGAGAAATGAGAGCCAGCCACCCAAGGAGCAAAACATAATGGGATGCAGGCAAATCCACAGAACATGTGGCAATATATAGATTAATAGTTTGGGTTAATTTAAGATATAAGAGCTAGCTAGCAAGAGGCTTGCCATAGACCATGCAATTAGTAATTAATACAAGCCTCTGAGTAATTATTTTGTAATTGCCTGCAGAAACACAGGACCTGGGCAGGACTGGAGAAACTTCTGACTACATGAGACAGACTACATATGGTCAAGACAAAGAAAGATTTAGGGAGGATCAGTTATTTACCTAAGCCAAACTCATCTTGCTTAGAGTAGGCAGTGAAACTGTTTTTTCAGCCCAGATCCATGGCCAAAACTCTGGACCTCTAGGCACTATGCTGATCACATCATGTCTTCTAACTTCAGCACTGTCCAGTAACACTACATCAAATCTTAACCCCTCTGACCCAAAAGCAGTGACATGTCTGAGTTGACTTCAGCACGAGCTAGGCCTTCAACAGGATGCTAGGAAGTTCAATCGCAGGTCCCAGGCTGCCACGGTCCTTAAAAGCAGATGCTTAACCACAGCAACAAAGCAGGCTTTGGAGTTTTCTAACTTTATTTTTAGTTGTTTCCACCATCCTTGGCATCTGTGTGTATTAAAGGGATCAAAAGCAAAGACCCAGAGTAGGCTCAGCCTCGAACAGTGAAGACAAGAGGCAAATGACAGGAAACTTCCACCCCCATGTGCCCGGCATCTGAGATAAGTTCACAAGTAGGAAATAAGAGAGCAAGAGGCCAAACTGCCCACAGCTTAGGGGCATGGTTTTCAGGGCAGTGAACATCTGACCAACACTGCCATGCCAGTGTGCAAAGAGCAGACTTGGCTATCAAGTAGACAAGAGCACAGCAACGTTCATAAGAGCAATCTCCTGTCACGATGATCCCCATGGAAGAAAAACACCCTCCTCACAGGTAGAATCTAAGACTAGGCTACCAACCTCCTCGAGCTGCTAAAATGCAGGTAACCAAGCCAGAGCCCTTTCATAAACAAATGGAAATGAAAGGGAGTTCCTTACATAAGTTCATCTTGGCAACTCTGAAGTCACAGCATTACTACAGTGGCTGCTGTGTTCCCATAAGGACTACCATATTTTTAGCACCATTGATTTTTGTTGCAGATCAAGGCAATTCCCAGTAGATAAATGAAAGCTAATCACAAAATGTATTTTGAGGTTCCAAATTAAGGCTCAAGCACCCATGGTTACTAGGAATATAATGACCAAGACTGGATATTTTGAGCTCAATATCCTTTTCTTGTACTGACTTATGTGTTACTGACTTGTGAAAAACCAGCAGAGGGCATAGAACTAGATCCTAAACCATTGACTCTGAAGATTTCATGGCTCATGAATGTCTTCACTCACATCCATTCAACTGCTGCTTGGCTAAGTGCCAGACCCCCCTATCTCTCTGAGAGATAAAAGGTTTCCTAAAATAGTGAAGTGTTAAATATTATACTTACTTTAAAAGAAAGGACTTAAATTTTGGGGGCAGGAGTTGATAGAATATATCGTTATTATTCATTAACTCTTCTATTCTCTTATAATTTAATCACCGGTCTGTTGGGCATCTGCTGCTTTTGTTTTTATATAGTGTGGCAGCTAGGGTTAACTGACAACTTAACAGAATCTAGACGCCCATGGGACATGAACCTCTTGGGCTTGCCTACAGATGGCCTTGATTGCTTTCACTGAGGTAAGAGAATCCATTCACCCTGGTAGCACCTTGTCCTGGCTAGGAACCTGGACTGTATAAATGGAGAAAGGAGTAGGCAGCAGCATGCTTTGTGTTTCTGCCTGTAGATGTCAAGGTCCTGCCACCTGACTTCTCTGCCATGATGGATCCTTGAACAGTGAGCTAAAATAAAACCTTTTCCTCCTAAGTTGCTTGTCACAGCTTTTTATTACAGCAACAAGAAAAGAAACTAAGACATACATCATTTTAAAGTGCATTCTAAAGCCAGTTCATCCTTCAGCTCACCTCTCACAGTTCCCTAGACTTTCTTAAAACTGTAAATTGACACTATGCTCCGCCTCTGCCAAACTGGGGATCTGGTGTTTCTTTCAGATGAAAAGTACACAGTGGAGGCTTTCTATTTCTACTGCAGTTATTGCTTTTTTAAGAAACAACAGATCTTACAGCAAAGCTATCTATTTTATGTACACCTACAAGCAAGATTCCTCAGTGGTTTATGCTCCTAAAAATATGCTCCAGCCTTCAACGGGGAATACCTGCAAAGTAATGCTTAAGGAAAAAAGATAGGAAACTGATAAAACTAAACTTTTACATCAAAAGAAGACACAGCAGGAAGTGTATGTCAGTCCTGCACATGTATTCACCATTAGAGTCTGTTCATCATTGGTGCTACATCACCTCAAAAACACCTAGAAGACCTTCACAAAAACAAGACGACTGGTCCTTAGGTAGAGAGCACATGTGGGTGAGTGGGAGGGACAGGAAGAACAGCACAGAGCCACTTCGGAAATCAAAAGGAAAAAGCTTCAACACATTAAAAACTCACAAATGCGCCTAGCATGGTGGCAATACCTAGAATCACAGCTCTCAAGATGTGAAAGCTGGGGGATGACTATGTCTCAAAAAGTCAAAATCAATCAACTAAATTAACAACAAAACAAAAATGAAAAAAAAAACAAAGATGTTCTTCCAACAGAAGTTTTATCAGTCCATATGGTATGAGATTTTACTTAGTAAGTCCTAAAACTGGAAGGAAAAAAATACACAAAACGACATGCAATGTCGTTTTCCTTCAAGAAAAAGCTCATCAGACATTCCTGAATATTCTGTAGTATAATCAAAGTGTCAGCGGCTAGACAGGAAAACAGGATGGCTTTTTCTCTGTGCAGGTAGAGAATTTCCTTACACGTTCAGGAGGAAATGCAACTATCTCAGATCAAACTCTAAGTTAGAGGCACTAATGCTGCCATCATGACACATACATGTGTCAACCAACAGGTGTTGCACACCCACAACCAGTGCAGGTAAGTGAGAAAATGTGAAAATATTCTGAAAAGGCAACATTAACTTTATGGGACATAATACAGGGAAACTGTATCTAACAATGTCACACACAAGAACAAGAAAGTACTACTACATATAAAGATGTTCCTAGAAGTCCAGTTCAAGTTCACTAAGATTAGAATTGTCTTTAAAATGTAGATAAGCATGAGTATTACCAAGAACATTACTAAAATTCTATAGTGATGTCAGCTCAATGGACAGCTTAAAGGTACCCAAAGGGCACAGATCACTCACGCTGGGAATTATCTAAACATTTCAAGTTCTGCTTTCAAAACTGTTCAAACATGAATGCCAGGCATTTCCTACTATTTAATGACAAACAATAAAATAAAGTGTCAAAGTCAACAGTAAGCCATTATTATTTTAACTTGGCTGCTAGGTGCCTCCTCACCCAAGGGTACCATAGCATTTCACAGTGAAAACACAGAGTCTTCCTAACATAGTCACATACATTCAGAATGGCATTTGATGCTAGCATTCTAATCAATAAACAGTTAACAAAATGTGGTGATTTTACTCATGAGGCAATGGAAGAAATACTACATCAAGGGTCTGAATGGTTTGTATATCCTGAGTTTTCTTACCTAAGACAGTATTTTTTTAAGACTTGATTTTTAATGAAATGACAATTTATATTTTAAAGGGTTGTCCTGCCTCCCAAAACAAGTTGCTTATTATCTATATGAAACTGGGTCAAATTAAGGGTCTTAACTATCATAAAATAAGTTCAACACACCCCGATAACACCACCGACAAATGTTGAGTCAATTTGGGTGCTACAGATGGAATCCTAAAGAGGGATGTGTCTAGTTCCCATGAACAAAGACCAAGGGCTATGGCCCTCGAGGGAAACAAAGGCCCCAAGGAAACCCATGCTGAGCACCTCTCCCAATCACCCGTGCCCAAGTCAGGACCACGACTTGTGGCACGCACACAGATCTATCGTAGCCAGCACAGCTGCCTCCTCCTGGCTGCCCAAGTAGCTCCAATGTACTTTTGCATTGCTTACCACATGCTTCTGCTTTGACTTGCCTATCTGATATCCCAAAGAGTTGGCTCTCTCTCATCTTGTCACAGGATGAGTTACATGGGTTTGGCAGTTCGTGAGATCTTCATGAAAGGGGCAAAGTAGGACCAGCAGCCAGCTCAGCCCCACATCAACTTAAGTGACAGTTTTGATATCCACCTCTATAAACAGGTGGATATAAATGCAGTTCTGACTGTAGAATCATAATCATTGGAACTTATAATAATCCACACCTCAACACTACAGCACATGTACCAACAGGATCTCTCAATGCCAGGGCACCAAGCCTCAGAAACCAATGTCTAGACTTCTCCCCATTCTTTCCTGTATTTCTTCCAGGCTTCAAAAAATCTATTCTGGGACCCAATTCTTAATCTTCTAAGAGACTATCTACTTAAAAAAGTATTAACTGGCATATAAACTCACTGCCCATCCCTCCAAAAGCAGACAAAGCTGTCAAAAGATACTGTAACTATCCGTTCCAGGATATTATCCCTTAAGCATATCTCATAGGAAGACCACTAATGAGACCCATCACCACCACCCCCTAAAAAAGAATAAAAATCAAAAACAAAACTACTGTCTGAAAAAGTACAACCAGTTTACCGTCAGAACTTTCATTGGACATACTCCTTTCCAAACAGTTTCCTCTGACACAAAAGCATCTGCCTTATGGAGACACAGTTTGTACTTCCAAAGGCACGTGCTGAAGCCCCCAGTGAATCACACTGTGTAACAGAGAGAACAGTGAGTGAAGACTTGGCTAGTTCTCATTACAAGCTACTCTTCAGAACATCACAGTCCAACTTGGCTCCAGGGGCCCAAGAGTTCTCCCAGATGGTTCTTGGAGAGCTGCAGACCTGAGGCCCTCAGAGGAGGAGCTGCGTGTGCACCTGCGCTGCATCCCATGGCTGTCCACCTGTGGGTCTCTCATAGACTTGTCTCCTCACACACTCTGACAGGGATGTTATAGTGCCGATCGTCCTCAGCTATGAGGGTCACCATTGGCCAGTCCTTGGGGGGGTCAGTAGGATAGACTGTGATGAACTCCTCGGTGTTATACTTGGACAGCCGGTACACCTGGATGGTGTGGCGAACAGCATAGGCAAGAAGGAACATTTCAACCTGGGAAGGAAAAGCAAATGAGTGTTCTGAGCAGAGCCACAGGGAAAGATGGGGCCAAACACCAAGCTACATCCATTATCCCAGACAATGAACAGCAGTGGCTTAGCTGCAACCTATCTCCTCCCCTTTGAACCTAGTCAAGGGGAGGGGTAATAAAGAATGGAGTGCATATCTGATAGGAAACTTATACTCAGAAATATAAAGAATGCTCCCAAATCAATGATTAATAAAACACCAGTTTAAAATTGAATGAAGGACTTGGAAGACATTTCTCCAAAGAAGACACATGAATGGTCAATAACCACATTAAATCATAAGCTCTTAGAGAAAAGCAAACCAAAGCCATAATGGGATAGTACTGCATTCCCATGAGAATGTATATGAGTATATACTCATACTCATGAGGACCCATGAATACAGCGTTTTCTTTGGGAGTGATAAAAAACATGGGGACTGAAAATGTGCTAACTGTCGATTCATCAGACCTGAAATGGTTAATTTACACTCTATGAACTTCATCACTTTAAAAGGCAGTGAAAGCAGAAGGAAGACAAGGAAGATGGGGCACTGATAAACTGCTGCTGGAATGTAAAATACGGCAGGCGCTTCTCTTTTTCTTCATTTGGCAATGCTAGGGATCAAAGTCAGGGAGAGCCTCATGCATGCTATGCAAGTGTTCTGGCACTGAGCTACATTCCAGACCTGTACAGCAGTTCCTCAAAATGTCACACACAACATTACCATATGCCCACAACAATTCTGCTCTTGACATATACCCGAGAGAAATCATGAACACACACACACACACACACACACACAGAGTCAATAAATATTCACAGCAATTAGAAGAAACTACCCAACTACACATCAAACTGATGAGTAAAATACAATATTCCCATACAATGTCAAATTACCTGCTAATAAAAAGGAATGAAGTATCAATACATTCTAAAACACAATGGATCTTAAGACATGCTAAGTTAAAAAGCCAGTCCCAAAATACCACATTACTAAGAATGTCCAGAATAGGCAGCTCTATAGCCAGAAAGTAGACTATGACTACTAAGGTTTGAGTAAAGGAAGCCTGATTGCTAATGGGCTTTGTTTCTTTATGGAGTTCCAACATGGTCTAGAACGAGACTGCACTGGTGGTCACAATGCTTCAATACGAAGAGTTAATGTGCTTAAGTTATAGTTCAAAAAGAGCAATTTTGAAAGAGGATTCACCATAGCAGCAGAGCTCCCTGGGTCCCTGAGGGACTAACTTCAGCCTAGCATGAAGACCAAGTCCTACTAGACTCTGCTACAGTTCAGGAGACATAAGCAGCCTACATTCTGAGTACAAACAGTTATTTCAAGTAATCATAAATATTTCTGGTCTGGCAGTAACCACCAGTCTTTTGCTCTTTCTTAGTCCTTAAGCAAAACAACTGAATAGATTTCATAGATTTCTATCAGGCAGAAAGACTAAGAGAAACCCAACCTGGCTCTCTATTCCTTGAAGTATCTTTCCTGGCACGTCGGCTTTTTCCCAAAAAGCTAGGCACAGGAGTCCAAGTAGAGAGGGAGCAGGTTAGATTCAGAGTCTTCATGTTACTTTAGTGGTTAGCTCATCACACGCACACATGCACACAGAGTATTAATTTTTTTAAAGAAATGATACAAAAAGTGAAACCCAGTAGGGTGACTTGACCTTTGGCTAGGGGTCACTACTGCACGAGGTGTCTGCACAATACTCTAAACTTAGCTTCCATGCAAGCAGACCTGAGAGAGAGAGGCTGGGCTCTATTGGCTCCAGCAGCCAAGAGGAAGCAAGCACCTCAAACGGGTCTACCCAGTGCTTTATAAAATATCTTAGCCTCCCAGGGAGTCAAGAGAACTAACGGTATCCACCACTTTACACAAGCAATCCTGGGACTATGTGAGGGTCGGGACTAACAAATATGTCCATAAGTCTTTGGCATGCCTCCCTAAAAAAGGGAGACCTTCACTTCCCTCCCCTGAGTAAGGAATATATTTAGTGACTAGCTTCTACCAAACAGAATGTGGGGTAAGTGGGAGTGTGTATCTTCCTCCACACCAAGAGCAGCCCTATAGAGAAGGGCTTGTGCCGTGAGGAACTGAATACTCCTTCTGGTTACCAATGAAGAACTGAGATTTTCTGCCAAAAGTCACGCATGTAGCCGGGCAGTGGTGGCGCACGCCTTTAATCCCAGCACTCGGGAGGCAGAGGCAGGCGGATCTCTGTGAGTTCGAGGCCAGCCTGGTCTCCAAAGCGAGTTCCAGGAAAGGCGCAAAGCTACACAGAGAAACCCTGTCTCGAAAAACCAAAAAAAAAAAAAAAAAGTCACGCATGTAAGACATGCAAGTAAACCCTCCAGGCCCCAATCAAGACTGAAACCGTAAAGGACATAACAGAAGCTCACAAGAAGTTGGACCGGAAGCACTTAGAAAAGCTGCTCCTGAACTGGCCTACAAAGTGTGAGATCCCATGTGATGGCTAACAGAGATACAATACTCTCAAATGCACAACTCACCTGTTCAAGGCCACCAGTGTGTCCCACCTGGTTTAGGTGGTTCCTTAGCAGCTGTCCAGGGTCACTTGATGTGTCTCGAGCAAACAAGAGCACAGAAAAAAACGGAACTTCCTTTCCCTTCTCTTTATCATCATAGAGTTCGATAGCTCTGTTTAACATTAGAAATTTGACAGCTTCATAGAGGCTGTACTCCTCTTCTTCATTTGTGAACAGTTCATCACACGCTAGCTGCCTGGCTTCAGCAGTCTTCATTTCAGCCAGGCTCGCCCACTACAATAAGGAAAGTTGTCACAATTAGAATTACTGTTCTGAAAATCCCTGGCATACTTCTATACCATGAGTACAAGGTGATTTCCAAAAGTAGGGGGCCATCAGACACATGCCAATGTGAAAAGCTTCAAGTTCTCACCCCACACAGTGGTATTCTTCAGACTACATGAAGCCCTTTTTGAGCATCTCCCCTTGTTAATGTGAAAAAGAAGTACCACACAGTAAGGGAAGCAGGGGATGTGAGGTGGAAATGCTGACTCCGAAACTTCCCAGGCAACAAGAACAACATTAACAATCAGAGATACCCAACAGAAAAAGTGTGTGAGAGGGAGCCATGAAGCACAGCTGTGATGGCTACACCTGGAAGAGGTTGTAGACAGTTACCCCAGAAATATGCAGGCAAGCCTCCAAAATGGAAGACTGCCAAGGGAGACTGTGGGATCTCCTGAATACTGGTTTATTAAACTTACCCCTATAATATCTTAAAAATATACATGAGTGTCTAATGAATAAATCCAATCGGAAAGTCTTGACTCCTAATTAAAAATAACGGTTTCCAAATAATAGGCAAACTCTTTAAATGAACAAGAAAACATTGTAAATATGTGTACTGCTAAGTGGCCATGAAAAAAAGATGTCACCATAAACACCAGTCCTTATGAATAAGCATTAATTGGCATTGCTTTCAAACACCAGTCCGAATTTTAAACCTAAGAGAAATTTTAATGATCATGACTATTCAGAACTCTTTCCAATCTTAACAGCTGGAATATGTTGTCCACATCTCATATTTTCTAGAAGCAGACCATAGTGCTGAGTAGAAGCATGGCTCTAAAGTTAGAAAGTCAAGATGCAATTAAAATTGGCTTTTGCAGGGCTTTAGCCAATCTCCAGTCTGTGGTCCCCTCATCTTTAGAACAGGATGACCACAGCCATGCCACTTTTTTGGTTGAAAGGGTAGAGCAGCCCAAGCACCTTTTAGTGCCAAGCATGACAAAGAGAAGTCTGACAGCTGCTGGCACAGATTACTAATGAGCAATTTTAATGTTACCGTAAACTGGCATCACATACACATTCCCCCAAAGGAGGGTCTAGTTACAGTCAACATACATAATAAAACAAAACTAACAGTTTTTCCAGACCCTAAAAAACATGAGAAAGAAATTGCAATCTACAGCTAAGCTGATGAATTCACCACTCCCTCCCTCACAGAGCTGCAGCCTGCCCTCACCACTTCACTAGGCCAGAAACTGGGTAGATGCAGGCTTCTAGCCCTAAACACTACACACTACACTCCAATAGGCAAGGAGAATAACCGTGTTCTTATAGTGTGCTCTACCACAGAAAGGTAGTTAACTATATACACCAGACCACAGGCTCGGGATAGTTTTAAAAGACAAGTTATTAAATCTACTTACTGAAAAACTGTTTTTAACACAGACTCTTAAAATCTGAGAATAACTGGAAAGAACTTCATAAACACACAGTGGTCAGTGAGAATATGAATGTAGGCTAAAGGGCTGGAGAGACAGCTCACAGTTAAGAGCACTTGCTGCTCTTGCAGAGGATATCATGTTGACACTCACAGCCACCTCTACCTGCAGCTCTAGGAATCCAACACCCTCCTCTGGTCTCCACTGGTACCCATATGCATGCGTGCACGTGCGAGCGCGCGCGCGCGCACACACACACACATACACATACACACACACACACACACACACACACACACACACACACAAAATAAATTAATAAAGGAATACAGGCTAAATGATAACCCTGAAACTTACAAATATGACTTAGAATGAAAAATATATTTATTAAGGTTTCTTCTGAAAAAAAAATTAAATATCTGAGATACTCATATATAGTACCACCTCAAAGAATACAGAATGTTGGTGGTGTTTCTCCATTTTACCAAAGACTTTATGGGAAGAATTTATGTTCTTTTAAAGTTTGCTTTTTCAATGTGTGAGCATGTATATGTGTGCACATGTGTAAGGGTGTATATGTGTATGCATGCATGTCGAGATGAGGGTCTCTCACTGATCAATTAGGGTAGACTAGATGATCAGTGAGCTTCAGGGATCCTCCTGTGCCCTGCTCACCATTACTGGGATTACAATCATGTGCCACCCCATCTGGCATTTATACATGAGTTCTGGAGATCAAACTCAGTTCCTGGTCATGCATGCATTCTACTGACTACACAACCCAGCCCCAAATTATTTTGTCTGAAACCAGCAAATTCTGGCTTCAAAAGAGAACCAAGAGCCACAATAAACCTTCTTTATAAATTTAAAAAATAACTATGAATAAATAAACAAGCCTAGCGCACTGAACCTGCTGAGGGAAAAAAAGAGAAAGCTTTGCACCAATCAGAGACAAAAAATTACACGGGTCAGACCTTCTTCCTCAGCAGGGCAAGAGACTCCTTAATTCTTTCAACCAGGTCCTCATTCTTTCCATCAAACCTCAGTCCGAGTTTCCACTGCTTGATCCAGCTGTGCTTGTTTATCAGCTTCTCTGGTAACTGGAATATCAAGGGGCAGAGACAGACAATGAGGTGTCAACACTACAAGATATCTATGACACATAGGGACACCACAAAGCCTTTAGACAAAACCCACTTGAATTTCCAGAATCAATTCCTGCAGTTAGCATATGGGTTCAAGATGGAGAATCGGAACCCGGAAGTCACAAATTCAGAAAGCAGCCACACAGAGGGCTGCTAGGATGAATGCTTTTGGTTCAGATGCACAGGAGTCCAGCCTGCAGAACACCAACCACAGGTGGGGACCTAACAGGCAAATCTGAGGCTAAGCTAAGGAAGTACCACACTGGGTCTTCACAGTAACCAACTTGGCTTCTGGGCACACTGGCAACCTTACCACTCATTAGTACTCAGCGAGGTAATTGTAGGCACGGAAGGCCCGTGATCAAGTCAAAGCCTGCTCCTTCCCTGATAAAAACAACCCACTAAAACACAAGACCTGTCTGTTATGCAATATTAACACACATATTTAATCAACAGCATAAGGTGGAAAAGATGAGCGAGACTCAGCAGCACTGGGAGGGTCAGGGAGCTTCCTTCCTTCCTTCCTGACAGAAAGACAGTAACTATTATGGTCTTCATTTTTTGTTCTGGTTCCTGGACTGTTTCATTTGTCCCTACATATCAAAGAATCTGGAATAGATGACAACATGAGAAACTATGCCTTCCCAACAGTCTGTCAGGATAAAAACCAGACTTGGGCTAGCTATGGGCACGTCACTGCACTGCTAAGACTCCACCTCTGTGGTCCAGTGAGATGGTTCCACAGGAGAGGCAGGCACATACACACAAATGAATTAAAATTTTATAAATAAAAAGACTCACCCCTGAAGTCCAAAAAAACAAAAAAACAAAACAAAACAAACAAACAAAAAACCAAACACATTCCCAATGTCCTATGCTGGATTTGTTTAACAGTACTAAACAGCTTAGAATGAGATACGTTCAGTTGCACTGGGACCTAAAGACTCAGAGGCCCTTTCATGAACAATATTCTGATTGTGCTTTCTTAGTCTGTGACAATCACATGCAGCTAAGATGGTTTTGTCACTATAAAAATCAAGAGCACAGTACTGGCACTGCATCATCACTCAAGGAGGAAAGGCATGTGGTCACTATCGTCTTCCCACGACAAATGACCGTTCACCGAAAACTGCAACAGGCCACTCTGTGCCTACACATTCCTGCACTTCTGAGTCCTGGACAGGCAATTTCTCAGTTTAGTCTCTATCACCAGAATCTAACATGCCCTCAAGTGGCAACAAAGTGAAATTACAACCTCCCTTCAAGAACTACACTCAAGACAAAAAAATACCTGTCCCAAAGATGCATAAGGTGGGAAAGGAGATAAACGGCAGCCCAGAACAGCGGAGGATTCTGTAACACTGGACAGTTATCTAACAAGCGGGTGAAACAGTCAATTCAGTTACTTTTGGGAGATACAAGTTAATTTCCTCATCTCATTCACTCACTAGTCACTCACAAGTCAATCTGCAGACAAAGTGATTAACCAGGTCCAGGGTGTACACTTCCAGATGTGGGAATCTTGGAGAAACGTCCAAAAACGTAAAGCACAGAAAAGCACAGGTTAGAGGGCCAACAAGACGGCTCAGTGGGGAAAAAGCACGGCCATGTAAACCTGCTGTCCTGAGGTCAATCCCAGGAACCCTTCTGCTGTGGGATGGTCTGTATGTCAAATGTGTTGCTGATTGGTCAATGAATAAATCACTGATTGGCAGTGCCCAGGCAGGAAGTATAGGCGGGACTAACAGAGAGGAAAATTGAGAGAACAGGAAGCTGGAGGGGGAGACACTGCCAGCCGCCATGATGAAAAACAACATGTAAAGATGCCGGTAAGCCACGAGCCATGTTGACAAGGTATAGATTAATAGAAATGGATTAATTTAAGCTGTAAAAACAGTTAACAAGAAGCCTGCCACGGCCATACAGTTTGTAACCAATAAAAGTCTCTGTGTTTACTTGATCGGGTTTGAGCGGCTTGGGACTGGCGGGTGAGAGAGATTTGTCCTGACTGTGGGCCAGGCAGGAAAACTCTAGCAACACCCTTCTAAGTGTTGAAGGGGAACAAGCTCCACAAAACTGTCCTCTGACCTCCATACACTCACTGTGTGTATGGATGACGCCCCCCCCCCCACACACACACACACATTTTTTAAGGAACTATTAGGAAAGAACAATGGAGTTGTATTTTTTTATTGAGAAGAAGTAGATACAACTTTAAATGCTTTCATGAGTCACAATGGGGTCCACATAAATACCAATCCTTTCTATTAAGCACACAGGCCTGCCTGCCTTCTGTTGGAGTAAGAGATACAAGAAGCAGACTGGCCAGGTGGTGGCACATGCCTTTAATCCCATCAGAAGCAGGAGGATCTCTGTGAGTTCGAGACCAGCCTGGTCTACAGAGCGAGTGCCAGGGCAGCCAGGGCTACAGAGAAACTCTGTCTCAAAGAACCAAAAGAAAGAAAGAAACAGACTGAAGCAAGAAATGACTATGGTAAGTGTTTAAGGACCACTGTGACTAACCTAGAGAACAGCCTGTATTCTCTAACCAACACCTACAGTCTTGATAACACGACAACAGCAAGTATCTAAAGCATCATCCCAAAACGAAACCACAAAGAGCTTTAGTGCCATTCTCTAGTAAATGTTGTCACAGTTCTCACCCACTCAGAGATCTTTAAAAATACAGTACAGTTAAAAACTAAAAAGCTTTGGCCCGCCATCTCCAGGTTGGGGCTGGGGTCAGAGAATCTGCCTGCCGTCAAGCAGGTTGGGTTCTGGACAGAATGGGAAAAACAAACAACAAACAGGAAGCCTAGGGCTAAGAGAAAAGGGACAGCTGTATGTCAAGAGGGGCAAGGGAGACAAAGCTCAGCTGCTAAGCAGGAAAGCAGCAAGGTCAGGGAAGCTGAGCAGCAGCAGAACGGAAGGTCCCTTCCACTGAGTCACTTCCAAGAGAGGACTGCTGAGCCTGGCTGTCTTCTTCTGATGTCCTGGCATCGGGCGGAGGGTAACACAGTCTGCCAACGGAAGCAGACAACTGCACACCTGCTCACTCAGGGAGTCCCCAGTACAAGCAACATCTGTTGATCTACCCCTCCTCTCCTAGCACCCTCAACAGAGCTCGAGGCCGGTGTTTCACTCAAGTCTTGGGAACAACAAAACAAACTGTCAAGAAAGGTCCAAACACATTAAGTTTCTGAGGGCAGGAGAACAAAAACATCACTTCTTCATCAGAGATTGAGCAGAATCAAATCAGTCAGCGTGAATACTGACTGCCCAGTGGCCATGCCCTCAGCAAGGCAAACTTGTGATGCTATGGAAAAGAGGAAACCACACAGAGCCACTGGGAATTGAACAGCTGTTGGTACATTACTCCAATTAAGCCAGGAAAACCACATGACAGCCACATCATTCCTACAAGGAACACATTCTAATACTGATCAATATCAAATGCAGCCTATCTACTCACCCTTTTGGAGGTGGGGGAGGCAGTTCTTGAGAAAAGGCCGCACTATATAGACCAGGCTAGCCTAAAAGTCACAATCCTTTTGCCTCAGCATCAAAAGTGCTGGGATTACAGGGATGTACCACCCCACCTTGCTTACCTGGCCTGTTTCACATGTGGCATTTAGGACATTATGTGCACCAAAAGCTCTTAGAAAGTATAAAAATTTAAGTTCAGTGTCAAATAAGCCCAGAAATATAAAAAGCCCCTCAAAGGTCAAGGCTCAAAAGGATCAATATGATTTAATAATAATTTTCAAAGTACTCTCTTTTGAAGCCCACGTGTAACAGGGACAAGTTAGTCAGCACACACTCACTCATTCACTATACTTAGCACAGATTAGTGCAACTGGCATTTAACTGTTCCTCCTAGGAAACCCTACTGATAAGTGTTAGACCACACAGAAGGAACATCTTGGCCAGGTTTTTATCAGCCAGGCATGCTGGCTCACACCTGTGACACCAACACACAGGAGACTGAAGCAGAAGGATGACCACAAGTTTGAAGCCAGCCTGGGTTGGGCTACAGAGTTAAAACTCTGTCCAGTCCACACTCCAGAAAGCCCTTCACCTCACATGTAAACAAGGAACAGCAAAGCCATGTTAACTAGTGCCAGGGTTTACAGAACTTCCTTTTATGATCCACTACACAAATGCCAGCATGTGGCCTTCTTTGTACTGGGACCTGGAGGCACAGATCCCGAGGACTCTACCACACGGTAGATCTAAAGCACTAAAGACAGCCAGGCCCAGGAAACGTCTCTCTACGTTAACACTAACATTTCACCATGGAAAGAATATCATTTTTGAACTGCACCTAAAACCCTGGCTGGACACCAGTAAAAAATTCTACAACCTACTTCACAGAAATACTAAAATAAAGTCAAGTTGTTTCTATGTGTTTTTTATGAATTCTAAGCATCACTCTAATTCAGCTTAGCTGTTGGTATTAAGTTTTATCATTTTTCTCTTCTGGAAAATACTGGTCATTTCTAGTCATCTTTTTAATATATAAAGCCATCTTAGACATGCAAAATTGAACAAATCCATACACTGAAATCATGCTGCATATAACACCGTCAGGCAGCATGAGCAGAAAGGAGATACCTTCTAACAAGAACTTCCTGAAACATGGAGACTCAGATCCATGCAGCAACATACCAGCGTGAGCTCTGGGTCCTGCAGCCAGAGGGGCAGCTCCGCCAGCTGGCTCATGGCCTGGAACAGTGTGGCCCTCAGCGCGCAGTAATTATCACCACGTACTCGCCTTATAGATGTGAATTTCTGAGAAACTTCCTCATAGCCCTTGGGAGAAAACATCAAAGAGTTCAGATGGTAGTTACTGGCTTGAGAGAGCAAGACAAGTTCCATTCCTACAGAAAAAAAATTGCCCTAAATCACTGGGAAGTGGGAAACAAGAACAGCTCAGTCTTTCTCGACTATAATTCCATTTATTTTAAAATAATAATGCTGTATGAAATATCAGCATCTATAACAGTGGTTCTTAATCTTCCTAATGCTGCAACCCTTTAGTATAGTTCCTCATGTTGTGGTGACCCACACAACCATAAAATTATTTTGTTGCTACTTCCTAACTGTAATTTTGCTACTTTTATGAATCATAATGTAAATATTTGATATGTGACCCCCCAAAGGGGTTGCGACCCACAGATTGAGAACCACTGATCTCTAACAAATGCAACAGATCTGACATACAAAATAATTATCCAGCACTAGCTACCCTCAAAGCCCTTTCCTAAGTAACTGAGGGAGCATTCACCGCCACTCACTGGTGACATTCAGAAAGGTTTAATCTGTGGTTAATTAATCTCAAATGCTTTAATAAAGAGAACAGGAAAAGGAGGGGAGACATGCAGTATCTCTATCTCCAGATTTAAAAATGTACAAAATCTCAAGTTTCCCGTGTGTGTGTGTACACACAGGCATATGTCACTTAATGATGATAGCACATTCTGAGAATAAGTCACTAGGCAATGTCATCACTGTGGACACAACAGAGTGCACTTACACAAATCTAGCTGGTGTGTCCTACTTACTATACACTTGAGCTAGATAAGCTCTTACTGGGTATTAGCTGAGGAATTGTGCTAACAAGCCACCGTGAAAAAGAGATTCAATCAAGTGTGAGACAACACCACAGTCAGGAGATACAGCGACCATGAGATGTATAAAGTGGCTGCTGGCATAATATGGCACATTGTTCTCCACAAAAGAGTGACGTGACAGCATCACTGCAGTAATGACACAACCCGACACACCACAGCTACATCATCGGGTGATCACAAAGTCTCAGAGCCCTTAGACTCTGAAAGGTCTATAGCTAGACATGGAGTCTATTATTTCAGAGAGGAATCTAACTCTTTAAGAAGTTAATTTAGATTTATAAACACTTCCAAGAGAATATCAGAAACTAAACACAGGTAATTAGGCAAGAAAGGGCTAACATAAAATCAAGAAAGAAGTTAACAGGCAGTGACGACAGCCAGCTTCCACCACGGCTCTCAGAGCTGCGCCTCTAAATGGTGCTTTGATCTCATTACTGACTGGTCCCCTCTTTCCCTGAAACCAATCCAAGAGAGGAATGATTTTCCCATAATTTCTAAAACATGGGAGACATGGGTAACCTGAGTATCTTCAGTATTGGACTTTAATGTGCCAACTGATAAAACAGAGCTTTGGAAGAGGCTGAGGCAACAGAATAAAATTACTAGTCAGTGAGGCATTTCTGGGGCAGGTAAGAAAATAAGACACATGGTTCCACTCAGCTTTCTGGGTGGAAAGCTGGAAACCCTGGGTAGTTGATAGCACGGTCAGCAGAAGTCCTCTGAAGAATAAGTCTTTCACCCTTAGCAGACACTAAGATCCAGGGTATTTTGTGACTGAGTTCACATATAAGGCCCTAGGATACAAATTTACAAGAATTAGGACTGAGGCTGTCATTTTCTCTCAGATTTCCAAGGGGCAAAAGGCATTTGGGGACCTAAGGTGAACCCTATGAGTAATATTTTCTTAAAGAAAAAAACCAAAAAACAAACAAACAAAAAACGCACAAGCTATGAGGGAAACTAATTAAATTTTGAAAAATTTAAAGCCCTAAGCAAAAAAATTATAGGCTATTTTTCTACCAAATATGAGTCTATCAAATATGGGATGGAGAAATAGCTTAGTGGTTAAGAGCACTGGCTGCTCTTCCAGAGGACCTGGGTTCAATTCTAAGCATCCACATGGCAGCCCACAATCATCAATAACTCCAGTCCCAGGAGATCCAATGTACTCTCTGGCCTCAACAGACACTGCACACATGTAGTGTAGACATACATGGTAGCAAAACAGACCATATACATAAAAAATAAATAATAAAAACAAAAATATTGGTCAGTATTTCTAGAACACAAGAAATATATTCAAATTCAAAATGTAAATAATCCAAGAAAAAAAGTACTTAGAACCTTAAGTGCTAGGTGGAAGTCTGACCCTGCCAGTTCTGTAGCTCAAGAGTGGTCCAACAGTTGCACTTTCACATATTTACCCTCTGACTAGGAATATTGGATGGGAATCACTCTGTAAGGAGAGCCCACGGGGTGCTGCAGCTCCACTACCATCCCACAGTCTTGGAGACTATGTTAGTGTTGCCAGTATATGCAACAGAACTAAGTGAAGGGAGCTCCTGGCACACCTTAAATAAGGGAAGTGGTTCAAGATCTCTCTGCACAGAGTACTGTAACATGAATCTTAAAAGGTCTTATTAATAAAAACAAACCCGGAGCCAGGTATTGCGGTGAACGCTAAATGATCAGAGAAACAGAACAAGCCACAGCCACCTCACCTTGCCAGTTCCTCAGCTGATCCTGTTTCCTCAAACTGGAAGCCTCTGTGTCCTCATCCGGAATGAATCTCAGCTGAACTGCTGCTCGAAAGCCTAAAAGCTTAACCAGCTTTTAGTTCCTGGTCCTCACACCTTATATACCTTTCTGCTTCCTGCCATTACTTCCTGAGATTAAAGGCATGTGTCATTAAACATGCCTGGCTGTTTCCAGTGTGGCCTTGAACTCACAAAGATCCAGACAGATCTCTGCCTCTGGAATGCTAGGATTAAAGGTGTGTATGCCACCATTTTCTGGCCTCTAGGTCTGTCTAGTGGCTGTTCTGTTCTCTGATCCCAGATAAGTTTATTATGGTGCACAATATATTGGGGGACACAATATCACCACAGAGTACAGGAGAATTTATACCCTAGGATTTAGACAGCATGTGTCCAAACACAGGAGGTGTAGAATCACCCTGACTATCCTTGAGGCTTTTACAACACCAGGTTAAGGAGGGCATTCCCAAATTTCTCAAAGACAGCCATCAAATGCTGACTCAATTCTCAACAACACAGCTATGTGTTCTTCAAAGAAGCTAAGTTACTGAAGAACTGATGTTGCTTCTATATTAATACTGTGACTTCAAACTAGTCCTTATCTTTGCAGTCTGTTTCCTCATCTCTAAAATTAGAACTCCAATATTTACAGCATTGTCTTATTATAGCAGTTGTCTTAACCAATGTCTAAAAACATAGTATGATATGTAACTTAGGACAGATGGTTTGAAGACTCAAATAGGTGCACGCTGGCTGTACCTTTTTCATACACGTGGCTTTCTGAGTATTTCCCCTCCATTCTTTTTTGCAGTAGTCCATAATATCCATTTCAGGAGCCACACTTAGCCTGGGTTCTGTTGAAGAATCAAAATGGCAACAATAAACGAAACAAGTCATGAACCAAAGAGTAATGGAAATAAAGGTACTGCCTTACCTGGGGTAGAGGGGAGTCCACTCTTTACTCCTTACTTTCTCTATTTTAAAATTTCCTGAATCCCACTACTGCCCTTGCCTCTAGTTCAGGTCACCACTATGCCACCTCCAGAGTGGTCTCTCAATGGGTCTCCCTTGTCACCATTTTCCAGATCATTCTCCACACAGCAGTTAGTCAAGTTGCTCATTTAAATCCTGAGTCAGGTGGCAGCCCTTCTTCCTATGCTCAGACGGCTGCAGGAGCCTCCTAGATCACACTCATCTGACCCACGGGTATCTATGAACACTTTTATAATCAGAAGCAAGCAGATGAACCATGAGAAAAAACCTCCACCATCTGTGATTTTTCATATCTATTAGGCAGAGATAATACCGAACAAAAATTGTATTTGTATTTACCTAAAAGACTACAGTTTGTTAGTAAGTCAAAAAGTAACAGAGCTCTCGCTATTGGCTAATCCACAGACTTCCTTCCCCAAAATTAGTATACCTCAGGATCAAACAAATGTTATCAGGTTTTTTTTTTAAATGCCTTTAGATTCTCTTCTCCCCACAACATCCTTCTCGTGTGTGTGTGTGTGTGTGTGTGTGTGTGTGTGTGTGTGTGTGTGTGTGTGTACACTGATGAATAAACCTAGGGCCTTAAGATTTTCTTGATTTAATGGATGACGTTTGATTTCTTGATATATACCTATGACCTATGACTATGTGCATGTATGTATAAGACAGTTGGTTATTTCAAAAGGAAAATAGGCACATTCTTGGGTTCATCTTGGCTTCTTTTTTAAACTATAAGGGATACAGATATTAACAACTGTTTTAGGAGATGAACCTAGAAGTACTTCAGACACAGAGAGCCCACATATCTTGTACGTGAAATAACTGTTTCATTCAACTCAACACACATTCCCTGAAGCTCTGATGTGTCAAGCACTGTGCCATCACTGGGAACGTAAAGACAACGAGGACAAAGCTCCTGCCCTGAATGGACTTCTCCAGGAGGAGCAGAGACCACAAGCACTTACAAGCCAGTGGACAGTGGAAGCCAGAATGATGGAGGAGCAGCAATTTGTTTTCTACGTATATTATAAAAACTGCCTACTCAAAAAACAAAAACAAAACAAAACAAAAAACCCTCATTGTTTATCATTTCATAAAGAAAAATCAACCTTTTACAAAAGGGGGAAATAATCCATGCACAGACAACATAGATATATTTCTGCATGGAATACATCAGGGTTCACCTAGAAGTGAAAGAGACCACAGTATCACTGTTGCACAACCCACCCTTAAATAAAGACCTTTCCTCTTTGAAATTCAAGAGATAGTTTTTAAGAGCTGATCAGAATAAGGAAGTACTCCCTATCTGCCTTTCGACTGTCCTCCCCCACAAACAGGAAGAACTGCTAATAGGCAGTCGGGACCCTTTCTGGGCTCTAAGTTCTTTCCAGACAGAGTGTGAGCCTGTGGAGAAAGCACTTTACTAGCAGAGGAAGGGCTTCCAGACAGGAAGGCTCCCTTCCTGTCTTCCTCTCTGCTGTCCTCACTCCTGACCCCTGGGCAGGGCTGGGGAATCCTACCACCTTAGATCACAGGGTAGAGTTGGCCCAGAGGTCTTATAAAGGCAGGAAGTCAAGTCAGAAGGCTAGTCCTGCCCTGAATCAGAGGTCTGTATGAGGTGGGAGGCTTGGGGAAATGAAGTACTTGCACAGCCACAGCATGATGTTACCTGAATTCCACTGGGCTACTGTCTCTGGGAGGACACCAGCCATCCCCACATACTGACTAGACTAGGAGATGGAGGCACAGGATGACCTCATCAGCTCACTGAATTACAATAGCCTCCTTCTAACTGTAAATTACACAGGCTCCCACTGCTGCTTCCAGGAAGACCATTTTTATTACCAAAACCAAAAGAAAAAAAAAAAAATTAAATAAGGGAAGTAAAAAAACCAAAGTGGTAAGCAGACATTCAAATAAGTAAGGTTTGGACCTTATTCATCACATAAGTGATGAACATAATAATCACACCCGAAAGGGTAAGAAACAAAACTGGGGCTCCTCCAGGAAGCTGGGACTCTGAGAAGATAGACTAGGATTGGAATCTCAAAATCCTTCTGCAATAGGTCTGGTGGAAAATAACCTGGGTTTTAGGAGCATACAGCTTCTATCACAACTACTCAGCTTGCATGAAAGCTACCAAAGACAAACGTAAACTTACAAGGTCCAACAGATCTTTATTTACAAGGCTGGATAGGAGGTCAAGGCCTGGGAAGCCTTTATGGAGCTAAGTTAGACGGAATGTCTTTTCACCAACCAAGAGAGCCAGAGCCTCTCAGTCTTGCTCCGGGCTCTGTGGTGGAGGAGGCGGTGCTGCTACAGGCCACTTAGGAAGAGCAGGAATGCAGCGGGGCTGAGATATCGGGAGCACTGTCAGACTGAAGCTGCATGTCACAAGACTCACTAAAACGCTTGGACGCCTGTGTGGGAACAATGCTGGACAGAAGAGAATCACAACAAAGCCTAGAAAGTGGAAGAGAAGAACAGGAGGTTCTACAGCATTAGCAAACAATGGGTGAACACAGAAGAGCATGATGCTTGAACAGCATTCTGTGTCCCGAGTGATTTGGAACAACAGAGCCATGGAGAATGAGCATCCTATGAAGTTCTAGGGAGGACCACTACAAAACATCTCTGCTGCATGTTGGAATGAGCTGACCAGCTCTGGAGGAAGACTCAGAAAACATCAAAATCTTATGTATCCTAATTACAAAGCTTTTGTTAGCCATAAGTGAAATAGAAGCCAGTTCTCAAAAAAAGTAGAACATGTGAATTACACAAGCAGTGAGAAAGATAATAACATTCAAACATACTCTATCAAGATCTCTATTCAGCTTCTGCATAGGCCTATCTGCAATGGAAGGACACATTTCACTTGTACCCCTGCTGGGAAGATCACCACAGGCCAGGGAGCCAGGAGGAGCACCAAGTCCACACCAGGAGCACTGGCGGGAGTGAGAAGAGCAAGCCCAAGAGAGCAGCACTGACTACGGACAGTCACAAAATGATGGGTGCTGTCAAGCACATGGCCATTCTGCTGTAGTCAACCAGAGCCACACAGCTTTCTTCAGACAAGGATATGTGTACAGCTAACTTCTCAAAACATCTTGCAATTGAAAATGAAAACTGTGTTCACATCCAAACTGTTCTAAGAATGTAAAGAAATAAACTGAGAGAAGGCAGAGTCAACAGAGGCAAGGAAAAGTCTGCCCTAAATCTACTTCAGCAAAGTGAGTAATTCATAGAGAAAAGACTGTATGCATTAGAGGACTTCCTAGGAAATACATGCCGCATTTCATGAAAGCGGATATACTAATCCAACTGGATTTTCTATAAACAAAAAAAGGTCTACAAACAAAACAATTCCAAACATACCTGATATCCCTCTTTCATGTATTAGCAATTCTTTCTCCTTTTCTATTTCATCTGCAGCACGGTACATGTCCTCCTCGCTGAAATCACACCAAAGTAGATATTTTCAAACTCTTGTTCACTGACATTTCCCAATGTGTGATAATATATAGCTGCTTATGAAATGCTTATGACACAGAAATTTAACTATTTTCATATACAGGATACCACAGTAGTAAAATATGGGTCCTAGGATGCTCATGTGTCTATCTCAACACTTTCTTCCACTTCAGAACTGCTTCCTTTAAATGAGACCATTCATACATCACATGACTCCAATGCCATTTAAATAAAATTGACTAGCATGCATCTTAATCAGTGACACTCCTGAAATGATTCTACCAAGTTCCAAGAACAGAAACAGTGCTAATAAAAGCATTTACATAGGAATGTCAACTTTTGTAACGTTACAAGCAATTCTGACAGCAGCTACTCTAAAAACATGAAAATAGAGAATCAATTATTCCAAGTTCCCTTAGCTAAAATTCCTCAAGGCTTCACCTGTTCCCTAAACAGCAACCAACCAACCCCCCACATGCTGCTGTGCTCCCACAAGCTTTAATGGCTACCACTAATGACCAACTTCTTTAAGAATATAATCACTACCAGTGAACTACTAAGTATTAGGAAGGGGGGAAAATTCAGAACAAAGATAATGAATAGGGCTCCCACTTTGAAAATGCCTCCCTTTCCTTGAATATTTAGAGGCTTGGCTAGAGCTGCCCAGTATGTTCCAGCTTTATTATTAATCCAGGCACCTCGAAAATACTATTAACCCCCAAATAACAAAGGGAACAGAACACAACTACCTTTGCTAAAAGCAAAAGACATGTTGGGAAAGAACAGTAGGAAGCAGAGGGGCAAATGGTGCAGGCAGGGAAGCCCAAGGCTGCTGGAGGGGCAGCTAGGCAAGGCAAGCTAGTAAGCCAGGAGGAAGTCCCAGGCTCGGGAACTAGAAGAAGCAAGTCCATCTGAAGAAATAGCAATGCACGGAGCTTAAAAATCAGGAGATTCCTCATAAGGAGTGTGCAGGCCTCCAACTCTCAGTATTTCCCATGACAGTGCCCCATGCTCACAGCAAACTGGGGAGAGAGGAGCTTCAAACACAATGGAGTCCAGGAAGGAAGAGGTGCCAGGCTCAAACAGAAGGGACCAAGTAAATGAGTACAGTACTTCTGCTTCTAATCTCTTGATCTGCGGACATGGCCTGGCAGACAGAGCTGGGAGACAAACAGCGGATCAGGAGAGATAGATGAAGAAGGGTGCTAGAGAGTAGACTGCAGTGAGAATCTAACAAGAACCTTATGAAATTATCCAGTGTTTTCCAACTGTGAGAGAACCAATGCCTAAATCTGCACCATGCAGATGTGGTGGTACATGCTTATAATCTCAGTACTCAAGAAGCTATGGCAGGAGATCTTGATGTCAAGGTGAGCCTGGAGTATGGAAAGACCTTGTCATTCATATAAACGAATACTGATCTATGAATTATATATGTGTAAAATATATACAAAGTACATATCTGCCACTTCCCTCCAGCATGGTTTTGATTATTCCCCTAGGTACTACCCAGAATTCAGTCCAAAAACAGCCACAACTGCTCTGCACTTCTACACCTGTGACTTCCTACAGGTGTTCTCTCATCCCAACAGGTTCAGAATCCTGATCTGTCTCTCTCCTATGACATCCTGACACATTCTGTATGGGCCTACCCTCTACTGAGAACAACAGTCTCACCCAAGTCAGACTGGCAGAGTTTAGCTACCTTTTACCCCAGCTCTTATTACCTCTAAGTACAGCAGTTACTAGAGTATTTACTTCATAGGACTGTTGTCAAGAAAGACATACTTAAAATAATGAGTATTCAAAAAGTTAGCTACTATTAATTTTCATATATCCACTGATACAGAGAGTCCTAATAAACAATTTGCCCAGTGATGGTTTCTTAGGCTTGTTTTCCCTAGTGTGTATGTATGTATATGTGTTAGCAGTGTGATGGTAAGAGAGCAAGGATCATATGCTCCAGTGACATTTCAAGTAAAAGACATGATATCACCCACAGAGCTTGTGCCAAAGTTAAAAGCAAACAGATCAAAAGCCAAAAATAAAATATGACCACATGTTTTCATTCTTCTATCAAATTTAATAACATCTTTCCGTCAAATCCACTATTATACCTATTAGAGAAATTCTGATTCTCTAAAACAGTCATTGAAACAAATCACTTTCTTAATATATTTAAATTCTCAGAAGCTGTCTTTGGACAACACTTCCCCAATCTTGCCCTCAGCTTTCTCAACTTCAATGAGAAGGCTGGTAAGATCTGTATGGTCTGCGGTTCCTCTTCCAGCTAAGTTCTAATCGCCTATCATATATTTGCATTTCAGGCAAATTCTGTGGCTAGCCTGCATGAACACTTGGCTCCCCTCTGGTCCTCTGTTCTTAACTTACAAAATAACCAAAACCATAATCACAACCCCAGTGCCCAGAGGAGGCAATCCAAATACAAATTCCAAGCTGGGCAGTGGTGGCGCATGCCTTTTTTAATCCCAGCACTCGAGAGGCAGAGGCAGGCAGATCTCTGTGAGTTTGAGGCCAGCCTGGGCTACAGAGCGAGTTCCAGGACAGGCTTCAAAAGCTACACAGAGAAACCCTGTCTCAAAACAAAACAAAAAACTCCTATGAGGGCCAACAGGAGAAGAACTAAAAGAAACAGAGCAGAGCAAACAGGAGCACTGAGTGCAAAGGGAAAGCAGACAGCCAGGAATCGGGGACAGGAAAAGGCAGGGGTTCAGGACACAGTCCTCACAAGAGGAGCAAAGCAGAAGCTGCTGACCAGCCCACAGCATCTACAAACTACTTCAGCAACCGGACAGTTCACCCAGATCCTTGCACCAGCATCTGCTAACTTCCTTGGCCACCAAAAGCAAGCTGTAATGTGGACCTTTAGAAATGATCCCAAAGCTGTGTTTCCTTGGAAACCAGGTAAGTGTCAATTTTAAGGAATGAAGATCGACACAGTCAGAAAGGAAAGCATGTGACAGCCAGGAGGAACTATCCACCCACCTAAGGGTGATCAGGAAGAAACAGCACTTGCCTAGCATATCCCAGTCTCTGGAGCTCACTCCCTACAACAGTACATAATAAAATAAAATGACTCCATTTTATTATCTGTCTTGGGGCTGGAGCTCAGGGGCTTTTTATCCCCAGCACTAGAACAAAACCAGACCATAGTCTTGATGTTTTAAGAGTCAAAATATTACACTGAAAACAACTACAAAAGGCAATTATATTTAAAGCTGGGAATGTGAAGCAGGTAGAGGTCTGGTTTTGTTTGGTTTTGTTTTTTCTTTTATGGGAAGGGAAGATAATGAAACAATGCAAGGAAAAGGGGTATTATTAAGATAAAGTCATCAACGCTGACAGCTCTGAAAGGATGGCAACTTTTACTGGTAAAGATGTGTCCACTCTGGCAAAGAACAGAGGCCACAAACCCCACAGGCTCAGACGATCACCAGAGCCAAAGCTTCGCTCCTATAAACCATGACAGCTATAAAACAGTAAAGAGAAAAATGACTCAATGTCTAGACATGCTAGTTAACGTTTAAACTGGACAGTTACATTTAAAACCCAAATGATAATAATTCCTAACTAGAAATTCCCTAGTTTAGCACCATGGCATTATTTGAAAGGATCCATTAAATCAAGTTCCATTAAATACTATTTACCCATTTTCTCATGAGCTAAACTATTTTATTCTGAAAGCAACATATCAGATTGAGTAAGCTCCAGTGCACACTAAATTATAACTAGTACCTATTACCCTGCTCAGAGATTGCCATATCAACAGATTTTAAAGATATGTGTGTGTGTGTGTGTGTGTGTGTGTGTGTGTGTGTGTGTGTGTGTGTGTGTGTGATGGGAGGGGGTTGAGACAAGGTCTCAGGCAGATTTGAACCTGGCTTTGAACTCCTAAGCCCCTATACCTCCACCTTCAGAGTACTGACTGGTATTACAGGAATGGACCATTAAATACAGATAAGACTTGCTTGTAAATGCTCACTAGTACAGACAAAATTATATTATTTCCAAGAAAATAGCAAATTAAAGGCAGAGCTCAGTGAAGCAGATTTCTGTGAAACCATAGTTTCAATTTCTAATTCAAGACATGAAATGAAAAATCAATTCTAATTTATAATACACAGCTTACAAGACATTATTTTGTTTTAAAAAGATGTACTATAAAATAAAATAAATGTTTTCCTTTATCAGAAAAAAAAGTATTTATTTTGATTTTGCTATTTTATGTGTATGAATGTTTCCCTGAATGCATGTCTGTATGCCATGTGTGTGCCTGGTGCCTGAGGCCAAAAGAGGGTGCTGGATGCCCTGACACTGGAGTTACAGATAGCTGTGAGCCACACTGTGTGGATGGTGGGAACCTAAACCAGGTCCTTTACAAAAGCAGCAAGTACTCTTAACCACTAGCCATTTTTCCAGCCCCCAAAATAGTATCTTCATCAATATGCTGAGTGTTTGACCGAGGCACCCTTAATTATTCAAAAAAAAGAACAGAGTGTGTAATTCTGTTCAGGTCTGAACTGGAGCCCTGCAGTTCACACTTAACTTGGTCTGTCCTAGGAGACTGCTGGCTCAGGCAGTATTGGTGAGACACAGTCAACCAGAGTGACACCACCATGTCTTCCCACACAGACACAGGAAAAGTAAGGACCATGCAACCTAGCCCTTTTCCACTGTTCAGTGACTGCAGAAAGGGGTAAACAACCAGCAAATGCAGGAAAGTACCAGCACCTAGGCCAAAATTCCACCCGCTTCTGCAAGTGGACTTTCCACGTCCAGCTCATGCTGCTCCATGTGACTTCCAGAAGTGTGTAAGGACAACACAGCGCCTTCAACAGTGAGTTCTGGAGACATTCTTGATGATTGCTGACGTAGGTTCTTCCTCGGGTGGGGAAAGGAGAGGGGTCCACTACTACCCCACCACTGTACCTATTCTTAGCCTGCTCCCTGTGAACTAGACTGGGCAAGGGCAGAAAAGACTTACCATAACAGCAGGCTTGGCAATCCCTGAAAACGGTTTAATACTTACAGGGCAGGGAGTGCTCACAGACCTTTTAAGAATCCATACCTTAGCATGGAAACTCAAGTTTGCCCTCAATTTCATAGCGCTTCACAGACTACCTGGTACACCTCCACACATAGCCCGCCCACCGTGAATCCCAGATTCAACACCAGTTCCATCCTCAAGGAGAATGAGAGGGTACATGGGGCGGTCTGTGAATTCCCTAACCACTTCTGGTTTGGTCACATCCCTGAAAAAGACAGTGTGGTATAATTGTCTAAGGGGTAGTCAACAGATGGAGCAGAAATCAAACATGAAGGGATGGGGGATGAGCAGAAGATAGAGCAAAGGAGAACTGTAACGTGAGCAGCCAGAGCGCTTACAGAAAGTCAGTTAATCTGGTCTTCAAAAGGGAGCCCACGTTTTCCTGCGAGCCATCCTTGGGGCCTGGGCAGCAAGCAGTGTATACGTGTGGTTTATGTGTCCCTCTTCCCTAGTCTCTCCCTTGTGAAATGCTGTGAGCTTACCAGACAGAATCAGAGAGGCCTCTGCCACTACAGCCATCCATCAGACCCTTCAGAGTCACATCCCAAACACATAATTCAGCTGCAGGAGACTGGCTATTATTTGCCGTCATAATTAATTTCCCCTCAAATGTAGTAAAAAATGACTCCATAGAATATCTCAAATCATATCTAGTCTTACTATGTTCCCTATTTTAAGGTGCAAATATTTTCAATGATTCCAAGTGGAAAGAAAGATCTGACCCGTATGGTCCAAAACAGATTTTTAAAGCACATTCTTAACAATATTAATTTAAATTTACACTCAAACTATTAAGCTGCATATATCACATATGCATCTATTATACTGTGAACTATGTAATGTTTCTATGATGCATGACCCTAAGCCTCACAAAGAAAAATAGCCCAACTACTCATATAATGCTGATTCAGAAAGATAAAATACACTAGTGGTGTGATGCTGAAATAGTAACATGTTTAAGTTATACTAGCCTCATTTCCCCACCTGATAAAGAGTCAAAGAAGAATGGGATAATTTAAGGCAACACAGGCAGTGAGAGAGAAAGAAATTAAGCTAATAAAACCACAAACTACAAACACAGAGGTGGTAAAGTTTGCTGTCTTTATGAATCATGCCTCTGTCCAGTTGCTAAGGAGGTCAGGAAGAATTTGGGGGCCGGGGCAGCATGCTCAACCAAGCATCACGAAACTTGGTCTTGAAATCCCCTACCTGTGTCTCCCTTGACAAGTTGTGTCTGCAGAACCTGCAAGTATTTCCTCAGAAAACCTACCAAACGACTCTGTGTACTTCTGGGAATGTGGTTCTGGCCTCAAAAGTTCAGGCATCTTTCGAGCCCTGTGAAACTGCTAGGGTAAGGCTGAGCTGCAGGACTTAACAGGCCGGGAAGGCATGCAGGGAAGGGCTGAGGACAGGAGGAAGGTGAGCAGTAGGAACAGTTAGGAAGCATCTTGGGCCCAGAGAAAGAGCAGAGGCAAGAGACATCCTAGGTTCCTAACCCATGCAGTCTCAATTTGGCAGCCATAGACTAGACCAACTCATACATAGACCTGTCTATGGAATTCAACATAAAGAAAAACCACGGTCCCTATTTAGGAACCAGGACATTTCAAGCAAAAGCCAGAATATTCATCAACTACAGAAGACCCAGCGACTACGCCTGGGGCTTAGAGCATGCTGACCCAAATAAAGAGCTAAAAGCTCTCCAAGTCCCAAAGCTAACTGCCAATGTCACCGACTCTTAAATTTCCAGCCTAGCTCCGGGAGAAAGTTAAGGCCTCCTAGCCTAAATCTTTCCTCAGTAACCATTAGCTCATTACACGAATAATTACCTCGGCACAGGGGTGCTCAATAAATAAAAGAGATCAAAGCCCACCACAGTGCACTAGGCAAATGCGCTATTATATCACACCTTCATTAACCAGGCTTCAAAAGACCCCTTTTCAGGAGATTAAAAGAGCCCTAAAGGTCCATTTAGACACATCTTACGATTTAAATTTCAGGTCAATAAGAAAATTAGTTTGAGGCTGGAGAGATAGCTCAGTGGTTCGGTTCCCAGCACTTACATACATGGTGTAACTCCAGTCCCTGGGGTTCAACACTCTCCTCTGACCTCCTCAGGGCACCAGGCACAGACACACATGCAGGCAAAACCCTCCTACACATAAATCAATCAATCAAAAAGAAAACCATTTTTTAAAAGATAAAGAAAATTAAGTCTGGCTGAGCTTTTTAAATATGTCCAAAGGCATACGTAACTGCCACGGACTCTGAAGTGTAGACACCTCTAGACCAAGCAAAATGTAAACGCTTCTGACTTAGGCCAGTAAGGAACTGCTCTGAAACCGCACTGATTGTGTGTGTGTGTGTGTGTGTGTGTGTGTGTGTGTGTGTGTGTGTGTGTGTGTGTGTGTGTTTAAAAGCAATGGGCGGAAGGGACACCCCGCCAGGCTCTGACAGGGTAAAACTGAGAGGGCTAGCCTGTGGCCAAAGTCTGTCCAACAGGTGCGACACTCTTCAAGTGGTGACTAGTCTTCCCAGGGCAGAGACGTGGCGAGGGCAGCCCTGGGGCTGTGACAGGGGCGACCTCACTTCCTCCGAGCCGGGTCGTGGGGGGGGAGGAAGAGCTCCAGGGAGTGAGCCGGTCACGAAACCAGACTCTCTTCGGCTCTCTCCCCCAAACTCCCCCGAGCTTGGGCTCACTTTAGGGATGGACAGCTGTCAAAGCGGGAGCGGGGCGGCCTGGGTGACCCAGCTGGGGACAGGCTCGGGGACTCCGGGCTCCTCCTCCGTCCAGCTCGCCTCCTCGGGCTCGCCCGCAGCCGAGGGTGCCCAAGCCCCACGGCAGCCCCGCGTCCACGCCCGCCCCGCTCACTCACTGCTCGGCCGGGCACCGCATCGCGGCCCGGGGCTGCGCGCCGGTCGTCACCTTCCCGCCCTCCCGCGCCGCGGCCCCCGCCTCGCGCGCCGGCGTCTCGGCGCAGCTCGCTCCGGGCCACGCTCCGGGCTGAGGCATGGTTCCCCGACTCATGGGCGGCCGCCACGCCGCCGGGCCCTGCGCTCCCGCCGTCCCGGGGCCGTGGCTGTGCCGCTGCACCCGCGCCTCGCGAGGTCCGCAGAGCGCTTCCGTGAGCGTCACTCGGCCCCGCCCCGCGACCTTTGACCCGCGCCGAGGGGGCGTGGCGGGAGGCCAGGCGTCCCGGAGCGGGGCGTACGCCTGCGCAGAGCGGCCCGGGCCGCGGAGCCAGAGACCGCTGGTGCCGGACGTCCACTGCGCATGCTCAGATCCTGCGTGCGAGCGCTTCTCGAGACCCCCGGGTACCCAGGCGGGAGGAGTAGGTGTGAGAGGCTGGGCGGGACCCCCGGCGGGGCGGCGTGGAGATGGAAGGCCCTGGTAGTGAAGGGTCCCAGTGAGTTCCGAACTTCACCCTCCGTTTCTTGGGAAACTCTGGCTGGCACTGGTTCCTGAGTGACAGCGCAGCCCTCGGAGCCCACGTGGCCCTCGGAGCGGCTGCGAGGTCACAGTTGAGCAAGCGCAGCTCGGTGCGTAACCTTGAATGTATTGCTTCCTCTGGTAGTTTTTATTTAAGAATAAGAGCAAAGGGCTGGTATTAACAGACACTTCCAAGAGCTGACATGAACTGTTTCCTCGCTGAGGCAGTGGAGGTGAGGAGGTTGAGTGAGGAGGCTTAGCTTCAGCCTTGAGCATGCAGAACCGAAGTCTGGAGGGATGGCCCGACAGGGACAATTCGGAAGCCTGCAAAGAGGTTCAGCGGCAGAACAGGCAGGTAGCGGTGGATCCTATGGAAGGATGCGGGAAGTCAGATCATAAAAAGCCAGGTTAGAGTGAGGAGCTTGAGCTTGGTCTTCGTTGAGTGCTTTTGACGAGATCATTTTGAAAGATCGCTTTTGCCTGCAGTTAAATATTAAACGATAGGGCTAAACTAATAATGTCCGGGGGACAGGGAACACACTAGTGTTAAACATCCTCCACGGCTGATTAAAACTTCCTGAATTATGGAGTGCTAGAAAGTTACAGATTAGAAGCAACTAGTGGCTATTAGGTAAACCTTCATGGAATGTACGGACTTTTAACTTTTACCAACCCAAGAGCAGAGAATATCATCAGATAGCACCAGAGACCTATAACAAACATTTATACCATCTACTTGATTTTTCCTCCAAAGTATTTTGTTTGGGGTTTTTTGTTTGTTTGTTTTTGTTTTTGTTTTGCTTTTTGGAGACAGGGTTTCTCTGTGTAGCTTTGGTGCCTGCCCTGGATCTCACTCTGTAGACCAGGCTGGCCTCAAACTCACAGAGATCTGCCTGCCTCTGCCTCCCGGGTGCTGAGATTAAAGGCATGCACCACCATTGCCCAGCCCTCCAAAGTATTTTTAAACTGCCTTTAACTTACTATTTTACTCATTCTGTTACTATAAAAAAAAAACTACTCATTCTGTTACTATAAAAAAAAACTATGAAACGGTTACCATGCTGGAACGTATTTGGGATAACCCAAGTCTGTATTCCTGGACCATGGTGCCTCATGTTCATTTGGCTCCAGAATAAACTATCTCTTACTCTCTTCCAGGTGAAAACTGTTCTTTGTATAGACAGCTGGGATATAAACTGAGGGAGGTGGGGACATCAGAGGGTCTTTTGAGACAACTCGGAGGCATTCTTTTGTCCTTTTTTTTTTCCTTTAAAGGGTAAGAAACACACATACTAGAAATCCAAAGCATAAAAGAACGAGCAAGCTGGTTGTGGAGTTGAAGGATGTGGGGTTGTAGTAGGCTAAGTAATATGTCACCACCCCAGTTCATGTCCGTCTGGCACCTCACAATGTGTCTACCAGGAGAGAGTCTTTGCAGATGAATTAGGTAAGGTGACATCATGCCGGATTAGGAGGTTCCCTGATGCTCATGCTTGGGGTTCTGAGAGGAGAGGTTACACAGACCTATAAACAGCAGAAGGAGGAAGGCAGAGACCAGAGGGATGCAGCTGGAAGCTAAGGAATGCCGGAAGTTCCCAGAGCTAAGAAAAAGCAGCCAAGGTTATCCAAAGACCCTTCAGAAAAAGCTCAGCCCTGCCAGCCATCTCATTTTACACTTCTAGCTTCCGAAACTTTAAAGGTGGGCTTCTGTTTTATGTCATCTGGTTTGTTGTACTTTGTTATTACCAACCCCAGGAAATTTAATGCAAGGCTCAAATGGAAATAGTTTAAATTTTACCATGCCAAATACGCCTGTAAGTAGCTTAACAGGTGTGGTGGTTTGAAAGAAAATGGCCCCCAAAGAGAGTGGCATTATTAGGAGGTGTGGCCTTGTTGAAGGAAGTGTGTCAGAGGTGGGCTTTGAGGTCTCATATATGCTCAAGCCACGCCCAGTGAGACAGACCACTTCCTGTGCCCTGTGAGTCAAGATGTAAGAACTCAGCTCCTTCTCTAGCACCATGTCGGCCTGCATGTTGCCTTGCTTCCCATCCTGATGATAATGGACTAAACCTCTAAAACTGTAAGCAAGCTACCACAATTAAAAGTTTTCCCTAAGATAATAGGTAAAGATCTTGGATTCAGTATTTTATCTCAAAGGTTTAAAAAAAATACCTTCATGGTATATGTTTAAATACAGAATAGATCTTTCTCTGTTATGTTAAACTTGGAAAATAGCTACAAGGTGGATTTAGGAATCCACTGTGAGAAGGACATAAGTGAAACTCCATTGCTCACTTAACTTCCACCCAGACGTGCCCACACTAAAGGAAGTGGGAGTATGAGAACTACGTGGACATAACATAGGAAGTATCCAAAGGTTTAGCAAAGAGTTGGCAGTTCTGGTCAGGCAATAAGTAAATCGGAAGCAATACCATTCTTGGAGGGATTGCAAAGATTAGTGTCCTGTCAGAGACTTGAAATTTGCATCGGTGGTCATACCTACCATATCCCTTTCCTGCTCACATATTTAATATCTGCAGAACACAAGTGGGGCCTGGGCAATGGCATTGAAGTCTCAAACTCAATTACATGGTAATTCCACTTATATTTCTATCAATAATTTGCTAATTGTGGATCTAGCAAACGCGCTTTTTTCTTCTATACCTGTTGAAAAGAAAAGAAAACCAGAAGGGTTTTACTTTCAACCGGCAAGACTAGAAATAAGCTTTGCTGCCCCGAATGGAGCTACACTAACTCCTGGGCTCTGTGTTGTAATTGAGTCCATAGCAGCCTCCATGTTCACTTTTCCCTCCTACAGAATCTCATACTTATCCTTGACACTGATGATGACATGCAGGAAGTAGTGGAATGGGAAGAAATCGAGGGAGATCTTTGAGGTCAACAGAAGCTGTTTCGTCTCAAGGGTTCATCACTCGGGGCTAAAATCCTGGAAAACCAACAGCCACCAAGGCCACCCCAAGCCAGTCGTTTCCAGAAAACTCAAAGAATGAATTTCACAGACAACTTAAGGGTGGGGATTAGAAAGAAGAGAGCTCAAGACAAAGGAAGCAAGAAGTATTCCTTTATAGCAAGAGGGGAATCCCAAGAAAGGTTGCCACTAAGGTCTTTGTTAGTAAGGCTTTACAGGGTTGAGGCATGGTGAGATCAGCTGATCAAGGCAATTGGCCTACCCATGAGCTGTTCATAAGTTTCTCCATTCTGGTGGGTGGACTGGAGTTTTGGGCACACCTTCAGGACCAATAGCTTCCAGGCAGCTCAGCTCCTTAGGTTGCTATTTGTCTTAGTTTTATTCCCTATTGCTCTGATAAAACACCCTGCCAAAAGAAACTGATGGGGGAAAGCTTATTTTGGCCCAAGATTCTGAGTTACATACAGTCTATCATTGCAGGATGGTCAAGGCAACTGGTTACATCCAGTTAAGAGGGGAGAGAGAATAAATGTGTACTTTCCTATGCTCAGCTCGCTTTCTCCCATTTTATATCATTAATTCATGACCCCAAATTAGGGGATGGTATTGCACACAGTTAGGCTGTGTCTTTCCCCGTGATTTAGCCTAATAGAGATAATCCCTTCCATGCATCTTATGGCCGGCCACCTGACCTAGACAGGCCCTCACTGAGACTCTTCTCCTGGTGATTCTAGAGTGTGTCAACCTGACAAAATGGACAGTCACATTAGATAAAGGAGAAGAAAGGTAAGAAACCAGAGTGAATCAAGACCCCTGAAACGCTTTTGACACTCCCGGCCTGCAGCCAGGACAGAACTACTGACAGAGCAGTCCCAGCCTCTGGCCAAGACTGAGCTGCTTGCCAAGAACAGGAAGCGGAGCTACCCTTTTCCAAGTCCCTCTCTAAACTGCCTGGCCCGTTTCTTTCTCCTGTTTTCACCAACAGCAACCACTCTGGACCTGTTGGCAGTGCTTCAATGTCACAGGTAGGTGCGGGACATCTCCCCAAAATTCTACTTCAGTGAAGATTTAGGATGTCAGGAAGTCACTTCTAAGATGAAAGGTGAATTGTTGTATCTCACCCTTCCTACAGAAAGTGGGGCATGGGGCTGGCAGGCGCTGTGCCCAGTGGGAGAAGAGAAAACTCTGCGGCAGGTCTCAACTCGTCGCCGTGCCACTTGGGCCATATGAGCTTGGAGATCCAGTTGTGCTTGACTTGGTACTGGCAGATGTAGATGCCACTTCGTCTTTGGCAGGCACATAGAAGTGAATCACAGAACAAACTCAGCATTTGGAAGAAAGCCCTGCTCTGTGGAAACTACTCTGGGTTTAGTTGGATGTTGGATGTTGGCCAGAACCGAACCCTTAGATATCACTTTACTATGTGGTCTGAACTCGGTGGCAAATCAGGTTGGTAGTAAATAAATGTTGATAGGATCTGACTGCACATCTGTGGTTTTCTTCGTCATGCCCACAGTCCCAGAATAATGGGGGAAGGGGCATTCAGAGAACAGTTAGAAGAAGGGCATCCTATAAAATATCTGACCAGGCTGGAGTGATGGCTCAGCTGTTAAAAGCGCTTGGTGTTCTTGCAGAAGCCGTGGGTTGGCTTTGCAGCACCCACCATGGTGACTCACAACCACCTTGACTCCAATTCCAAAGGATCCAAAGCCCTCTTCTGACTTCCTCGGGCACTGCACCCACAGAATACACATACACACATGCAGACAAACACTCATACACATAAAAGAGAAATGAAGCCAGGCGATGGTGGCACACACCTTTAATCCCAGCACTTGGGAGGCAGAGCCAGGCAGATCTCTGCGAGTTCGAGGCCAGCCTGGTCTACAACGCGAGATCCAGGACAGGCACCACAACTACACAGAGAAACCCTGTTGAGAGAGAGAGAGAGAGAGAGAGAGAGAGAGAGAGAGAGAGAGAGAGAGAGAGAGAGAGAGAGAAACGAGTCTTAAGAAAAGAGCACTCTTCAGAACTGTCAAGATCTTCGAAAGGAAGCAATTGGAGAAACCATTATAACCAGAGGCAGTCTAGGGGCACAGCAACTAAATATGCAATGGTATCCTTGTAACACAAAACTATTTTTCGGTTATACAAGGGAAGTCTGAATAAACAGTGAATTTTATGTGTAAATATTTGTTCATTAAGGATAGCAAACATACCATGCTAACATGAACATTTTAGTATTCAAACAAACTGGATGGGAAGCATATGATAACTCTATATGAAATATATTTTTTATAAATAAAAACTGCTCTAAAATCTATTGTATTTTTAAAATTTTTAACTTTTAATTATTGTGTGTGTGTGCATACATAGTATGTATAGGGACATACATGCATGTGGAGATAAAAGGGCAACTTAATGGAGTCCATTCTCTCAGCATCTATGTGGATCCCAAAGGACCAAACTCAGGTCTCCAGGCTTGTGTGGCAGGCGTCTTTATTAACCACTGAGTCATCTTGCTGGCCCAAGTCTGTTGTATTTTCAAAACTCAAACTCAAATCACCATGTCATAAATGTTAAAACCAAATCTTTCTAAAATAGTGAAGCATATCCACTTGTATCGTTCTTGTCTATGTCATTTAAATTTCTTACTAATTTTTGGCTCTTTAAGATAGGACTTTTTGGAGCCCAGTCTGGACTCAAACTCACAGTGTAGCTCAAGGGTGACCTGGAGCTGAATGTCCTGCCTCCACCTCCCAAGTGCTAGAATTACAGGTGTTCGTCAAGACACCCCACTCAGAACTTAAATGCTAATTATTTCATCTGCATCTCACCTTTCAAATTTTCTATATGTGTGTGTTCTGTACTACTATCCAGACATATGTGTAGAAGTGTGTATGTGATTCTTCAGCATGATTGTTGAGGACACGTTTATTTTTAACCAATATTATAAAACATAGTTGTATATGTATTTGACTGAAAAACTAAATTAATTTTTTAGAGCTCATCATGAGAAGGCCAGCGCCAGCAAGGTGGCTCAGCAGGTAAGGGTACTTGCCATCAAACTGATGACCTGAGTTCAACCCCTGGACCTGAATGATGGAAAGAGAGAACCAGCTCCCACAAGATGTCCTCTGACCGCCATATGTGCCCCCACATGCTTATTTTCACACACACATTATAAATGCAGTTTTAAAGTATTTCAAAATTCCATAAACTGCGATAACAACAAGCCTACTCTTTTGCCAAAGTGAATAAATGAATAATAATAATATAAAAATACTGTGATCTTAAGTAAAAGCCCATATAGCAACATGGCTAGAGTTGACCCCAATTGCATTAACTGCTATGTAATATGATCGTATAATTTGAAAGTGCTTGGTAGCTGATACTGAAATCACCTTCAGTTAATGCAGCTACTTGGGTGGGGGCTTGCTTAGAATAGCTAATGTGTAAAAGAACTTAAGTTTTTTTTTTTTCATTGAGGTTTTCAACCCTTGGTTATAATTACTGTTCACACATTATACTGCTGGGCCATTATACTGTTCTCATTGTTGGCTTTTAATTCTCTTTAACTAACTTAGTAAAAGTTGGATACATACATACCCTCCTCACGCCTTCTCCACATCATAAACTCTTAACAGCAAAGTTAAAGCTCTATTCTAGTCTATGGACTTCCCCAAAGCCACAGCAATGAAAAAATAGATCTGAAGTGTATTCTGTACATCAACGTCTAAAGTTTTGAGCAGAAAGGTACTTTTTAGTTTATTCTTGTTTCACAGATTGGTGTACAATACTCAGCCTCAACAGGAAGCACTGTTAGTTTCAGTTAGAAATTAACCACTGTAGGAATACCCAGTCATTAATTCGAAAGACCCCCTCCATTTTCAGCATTATGGAATGTTCATGTAAAAAGTAATTTAAAAAAACAGGATTAAATGATGACCAACAAAAAACATGTGCCTTTGCAGTTCTGAGACTGATATAAATCATACAGGAAAAGAAAAAAAGAAGAAGAAATTGTCCAGTTAAAAAAACATACCTTGCAATAGTACTAGTTCACCTGGAAACCCCAAAACATCCCCAAGAGTCTTTACTGGGAGAAGTATGGGTCATAATGAAGTTTATTTTATTGTGAAAATGAAACTTCCATCGATGAAGAGAAGAGAGAAAATGATACCATTATAATCCATGGCCTTGGGGTTCTAGAAAGATTAAACCAGTCTACTTTAACAGAATTTTGTCCTAGAAATTATCCAGGCAGAAGACAGTCTTGATTTCTGTGCCATGGACTGAATTGTGTCTCCCCAAATTCCTCTGCTGAAGTCCTGACCCTTGGTGTGACTGCTGAGGGGCAGGGCTGGGTGAGAAGGTGATGGAGTTTAGCAGAGGTTTTAAGGTATGGGAGTGCACAGACTCTACACGACAAGGCTGGTGCTCTTCCAGGAGACAAGGACACCAGAGCTTAGTCTGTCTGCCGAGGGAGGACACAGCAAAGTGGCAGCCGTTTGAAAGTCAAGAAAAAGCCCCCGCTGTTAGCTTGGTCTCAGTTCCAGGCCACAGAACCGAGGGCTGTTCTTACAGCAACTCAAGCCAGTTCAAATTGTACCATGATGTTGTTCCTCGCACTTACCACTTCAGACAAGACACATGTTTCCTGTGGCAAGGAAATTCGTGACTCATACCATGCACTAGAACTCTGAAGAAGCTAGAGGTGCAAATTTTAGACATTTCCCAAGAAAATATGGGTAAGGAGATTTGTGATGCTTACAGAGACCTTAACCTTCTCAAGAAGTTTAGGATTAGGTCAGATGTCCTCATGTGACCCAGTCCCATCATCTACTGTTCCAATATCTCCACTGATGATAAGGTAAGTTGTCAGTCTTAACTCTTAAAAATCATATCAAGGTATTTCTAAAAATGTAACACAAGCATTGTGGATCTTACACTAATTTGTCCATATATTTACTCATTTCTTGGTCCAGAACCTTGGAATGATATCTAATTGAATTTTTTTTTCAGAAGAAAAGAATATACAGTTGCATCATCAGTTGCATCTCATAGCATTATTTTCAAAGCCTCCGGCAGCTGGACTCCAACAGGTACCAAAGCCTAGCCTTGAGACTTTGTCTTAGATGTGGGTATTTTGGTGTTTACATGAAATATCTTGGCTAATAGGTCTATTAAATGTACTTTAGAATGGGACAGTAAACATAATGTGTAGCAGAAATAGAACTGTGTGACTTTGGGGAAGCATTTTAACCTCTCAGCTTCCAATTTTCAGCCTTTAATTTCACTCACACATGGCTTGCTTTTGAGATTGTCTGTGGAACAAACTACAGTGTGAAGTAAGACATGCTGGTGGCATCTTAATCACCTGGGTGACAGACTCATGACAAGGCTGTGTCTCTTCCTAGCACTGAAGATTGATATTGAACTTAAATAAATAAATAAATCTTATGACACTTCCCAGAAATGGGCATGATTGATTCTAAAACTGAACTTTGTAAGGATGGCTTCTAATTCATTGCTTTCAACGAATTTGAAGAATCTAAAACTGTTAAAATCGTATAATGATAAATTCCTATGACATTGTGTGGAAATGTGTGTATATGTGTGTATACATATGAGCAGTGTGCATCCCTATGTGTATCTGTAGAAGCCAGAAGTTGAAATCAAAAGTCTTCCTTTAACATGGCTCACCTGATTTTTTGATGATAGGACCTTTCACTGAACCCAGGGCTCACTAATTGGCTTGTGTGGTGGTTTGAATGATAATGGCCCCATAGGCTCAGATATGTGAATGCTTGGTTCCCAGTTAGGTTGAACTGTTTGGGAAGGGTTAGGAGGTGTGGCTTTATTGGAGTAACTGTGTCACTGGGGGTGGGCTTTGAGGTTTCAAAAGCCATTCAGTTCCTAAGTAGCTCTCTCTGCCTCATGCTCACAAATCAGCAGGTAAGTTTTCAGCTACTGCTCCAGTGCCATTCCCACCTGCTGCCATGCTGCCGTCCATGGTGGCCATGTACTCTGACCCTTTGAACCATCAGCCTCAAATTAAACCCCCTCTTTTATAAGTTGCCTTGATCGTGGTGTTTTGTCATAGCAATAGAAAAGTAACTAACTATGACAGCTGGACTGGCTGGCCAGTGAGCCCCTGGGATCCTCCTGTCTCTGCCTCCCAGAACTGGGATTACAGGTGCACAACACCATGCTTGGTCACACAATTTTTTTAATGTTTGTTCATTTTTGCCTGCATGTAGATCTGTACCACATTTGTGTCTGGTGCCATCTGGAGGCCAGAAGAGAGTATTGGATTCCCCTGGAACTGGGGTTACAAATGGTCTTGAACCTCCATGTTGGCTCTAGGAATCAGCTTGGGTTCTATGTGAGAGCAGGGGGTGCTCTGAACCACTGAGCTACCTCTCCAGCCCCTGCCTAGCTTTTTACCTGGGTGCTGAAGATGGGAGCCCAGGTCTTCATGACTGTGCAGTCAGCTCTTTACTCACGGAACCATCTTCCTGCCCCCAACTGTTGTATTTTTGGCATGGAATTCAGAAATTCAAAGAACTGATTTTGTTAAAACAAGCCTCCATTTGCAACTGTTTGTGAATTTCTTAGTACTTATGTCTCTCAACCTCCCAAATAGGGATAGAATTGTCATTAAATCCCATCTGTTTTCAACAATAACTAGCATTCATCAGCAAATTTTCAGAGAGATGTATTCAATAAAATGTTATTACGTGTATATAACAATTTTCAAAATTTGCAATGTGTTGTTTTGGTTAAGTTTCCACTATTAATTGTTATAATAAGTAAAAATTTCAAGTAATTTTAAGTAATAAAAGATTTCCAAACAAAGATACCAACATTTACTTATAATACCATATAAATTATATGTCTTAAAATTAAGCATCTAGGGATATCCATAGAATTTTTAGCAGACAATCAATGATTATACTTACGATATCCTAAGGTTAGCAGTAGGTCTACGTTCTTACTCATTTGCAAATGACCAGAAATTTATGAAGTTCATTCTGTGTGTCAGAAACTACTTGGCAACCCAGTTTATATACACACGGAGTGAACATGAGCCTCTCTCTTGCTGTTGTGTGTTGCAGAGGGGTTATTATTAATAAAGTATGGTTCCATTACCTTGTCAGTAATTGAATATATATATTCCCTCAAAGAGAATAAGAGACAGCTTATTCTGAGTCAAATATGTGTGATTATGTCCTGAAAACCAAGTTCATGTGCCCCAAATTACATGTTACAAACCTGTTACAATTTGGTCTGGATCTGGGATATTCCAACTCTGCAC